GTATTTTATACCATAAGGTTTAGGATGAACACTGTACAACACAAACAGTTGTTTATTTCCCAGAAATTTAGCATAAAAGACATGCTCGTAAGTTGAGTGGTCATATGTCGAGCAGGTCATAAGTCGGATGATAGGTGTATATATACCTTTGATGAGTTTCGAGTCTTACTACTCCCAGAGCCTGGCCTTGGGTATTGTAAAACGTAAGCTAATGCCTGAATTCCACTAAGTAGCAACCACTGACCTTCACAGAAAGAAAGAATAAGAAACAAGAAATAAAAAGAAATAAGAAAGAAAATTAAGACAGACAGACAGAGACTGGAGAAAATAATGTTGATAAACTTGATAAATTTTACAAGCTAACAATGTTGAAGTGTTCAGCTGAGCCAGTGAAGGAAGATAAGTTGTATGATCTTTATTACTAATATCATATTAAAGGTGCCAGAGACTCTCATGGTGGTTAGTTCTGTGCCGTACAGTTGCTTGTCGAGGCTTGAGTTTCACTTTAATGTGAGTGAGGCGCGAACACTTGCAATATGAATGAGCACCAGTGAAGCAAGAACATTGAGGTTTGCGTAACAATGCACAGGCTAATATCACTACCACTACCATTATGTATGGGGACAACACAGTGAGCCAAGCAAGGCAAACTACTCAGGAGCTGTGCCACATAGATCACTTTCTAAAAGCATAAATCCAAGATCATAATTCTGTAGAACATTACATTTTCACAAAGCAAATAATGAGATCTTTAATTAAATATAATTACATTCCTATCCGTGCCAAAAGAAGTAACCACTACAAATTACTTACACAGGAGATGAAATGCTATAGGAAGAAATATACTTCATTTGAGCATGTAAATTATTCTAACCTTCCTAAGTTTCTTCCCTTAGTTATGAATAAATTCCATATTTGGTTATTTTAAAATAAAATTTATTTAATACAAATTCAAAGTTTCCAGGACTTCTCCGTTATTATCTTTATCCATGTTATGATTTTTTCTTTAATACAATAACAAAAATTGGATCTTCTAATTTAACAATTTAGAAATAGTAATAGTAGATGGTGTGGAATACCGACAAGCTGTAGTTGATAAAGACACACAAGCAGCAATTAGAAACTTTACTAAGACATTGTTTTGCTTGCCAGCAGATTTTATCAAGTCTCATAGAACATGTTTAGTGGTAGCTCAATTTATGGGAAGAAGAGAGAACAAACTCAGGTTTAAAATAGGTAAATATTAAAGGAGCACTGCAAAAGGCCTACTTGCCTACTCTAGGTAAATACTGAGACTTAACATAATAATAATAATAATAATAAAAATTTTCATGTGGATATAGAGAAGAGTTCTTCCTCCATAAGCTTTGTGAGTCATAAGAGGCGACTAAAATGTCAGGAGCAAGGTATTAATAATCCCTTCTCCTGTCTAAATTACTAAATGTTAAAAGAAGAAAACCTTTCTGAAAGCATTTCCTTCTTTTTTTGGGTCACCCTGCCTCAGTGGGAGACAGGCAGTGTTAAAAAATAATAACGTTGTTGCTGTTGTTGTTCAGTTGTGGTACCGGCAGTAGTGGTTGTCATTAATGGTGGTGCTGGTTGATGATGATGATGTTTATGTTCTTCTGTTGGCGGTGGAAGCGGCGGTGGCTTCTGCTGCTGCTGGTGGTGGCGGCGGCGGCAGTGGTGGTGGTGGCAAATGCCAGTAGTAGTAGTTCCCAGTGGTATACCTGGTTCAGTATCTGCATAGCTAAAGGTTTCGGCAATTGGAACCTGTCTTGGTTCTGCGTGATTGCATTAGATGTCGTCATCATGAGTTTTAAATCAGAAAATCTCATCATGATTATATGAATTGCTATACTACTAGGCAAATGTCTTGCTCCAGTTGTCTGCTTGGGCAGACTACTAATGCTCAGTGACGTGTTTATATAAACTTCATATGGTTTCTCCCACATAAATCATGGAATTTTTAACACACCAGTTTCTTCATCTGTGTTTTTTTTTTTTATCTAGTGAGATCACAGATAGTAAAAAAGGTTACTACTGTTACTTTGTTGCTGCTAGGTTCAAAATCTCTATGATGCTGGAGGTGATGCTGCATCTAGGGAAAATTATGTAGTACTGCTCTGGTTTCAGGGGTTTACAATATTTTTATATTACATTTCCTATAATTACAGAATTCTTCCTCCATAAGCCATGTGTGTCATAAAAGATGACTAAAATGCAGAGAGCAAAGGGTTAGTAACCCTTTCTCTATATACATTACTAACTGCCGGGAGAAAGGGGCTAGTAATCCCCTTCTCCTGTATACATTACTAAATTTATAAAAAGACACTTTTGTTTTTCTTTTTGGGCCACCCTGCTTCGGTGGGATACAGCCAGTGTGTTGAAAGATGATGATGATTTCCTATAATTAGGGCTGAAGAAAGTTGCATATTGCAGTTTACTTAAAATGTTCCTGATAGTTTTGTGCTCTTCTTTAACCCTTTGAGGGTCGACAGGCCCTCTCAGAAACTTGTTCTCAGGGTCGGCCAAATTTACAACAACAACAACAACAACAACAACAACAACAACAACAAAAAAAAAAAAAAAAAAAAAAAAAAAAAAAAAAAAAAAAAATTCTCATGAAAAGATAGAGAATCTTTTCCCGATCATAATGACACCAAAAGTATGAAATTTGATGGAAAACTTATGGAATTACGCTCTCGCAAAGTTAGCGGTCTTGAAGATGTTTACGCATCGGCGATTTTTCCCACTTTGAGCCCTATGTTTGGCCAATTCCTATGTACTAGTCGACAAAAATCATAACTATTTCGCTAGAACTCCATTTTTTCTATCGAATGAGTACAAGAAACCATCCATTTACTAATTTCAACTATCCAATAAAGTGGTCAGAATTTAGCAATTTTGCCAATTTCACACAAATTTCAAAAGATGCCAATTTCCGAATAGGGTCCAGAATAAACAAAAAAGACATTCCTGGCACTAAAATAACAAGTTCTCTGTTCGTTAGTCACATCCCCAGGCCCCTTTTATATTTCTTTGGCTTTCCACTTTGAATTTTTCTCACAAAAAATAGATTATTTACTGTTATGCAGACTACTGCATTAGTGTAGAAATGGTATAAATAATATCAGCGCACTTGTGAAAGAATATTAGACTCACCAGTTGACGTGTATTGGACGCTTGGCATGATTTGTTTACTTTTGAACTTTGATAAAAATCGAACATTTCTGCTATTTTGCGCTCAATTTCAAGGTACTTTTCATTGTAAAACCAGTCAAAATCATCTCAATTTCTGTAATATGTCTCCCATTCTATAAAATGAGACCAGGAAAACTAGAATACAACAATAAATACCATACGAAAATACAGTGCAAAGTCACTGTTTTATTCTAAAAACACGGTCAAAGTTTTTTTTTCTCATTACGCACTGTGTGCTGCAGGATTTTTTTTATACTGCGCACACTGGCCACATAGACCCATTCTTTCATATGTAGGCCTACCAGCTTTCTCTCATTAGATTTGAGGGCGCTAGAATTTAGGCGTACTAGTACATCAAAAACACTAGGTCGCAAGCCGTACTAGTACGACCAAAACCCTCAAAGGGTTAAGGAACCAGGGTACTACAAATTCTGTATGCACATGGGAAGAACTCAGTTACACTTCCCTGGTCTTGTGTTGTTATGTAGCCAAAAATGGATGAGGTCATTTTTATAAGAAGGCTTACACTATACAGTGGACCCTCGCCTAACGATGGCATCACATAACGTTAAATCCGCCTAGCGATACATTTTAACGCAAAAAATTTTCCTCGTCTAGCGCTAAAAAACTCGCTCAATGCGATTCGTCTGAGACGCGTCCATGTGCGGCCTGAGACAGGCTCACTTGTTCCGCCGGTGGCACTGTTTACAAGCCAACCTCCGCGGTTACATCCAAGCATACAATCGGAACATTTCGTATTATTACAGCGTTTTTAGTGATTTCACCTGCAAAACAAGTGACCATGGGCCCCAAGAAAGCTTCTAGTGCCAACCCTACAGGAATAAGAGTGAGAATTACTATGGACATGAAGAAAGAGATCACTGCTAAGTATGAAAGTGGAGTGCGTGTCTTCGAGCTGGCCAGGTTGTAAACAAAACCCCAATCAACCATCGCTATTATTGTGGCCAAGAAAACGGCAATCAAGGAACAATGTGTTTAACACAGAAATTCACATAACCATCTGATGAGAATTTTTAATTCATAAATTGCAACAATGACACGGCAAGCTATAATTGGCTATACAGATACTGAATCAGGTATACCACCAGGAAATACTAACCGACTACTGCTACTACTACTTCTATTACTAGTACCACCACCACACACCAACCTGTCTTAAGATTTGCCTAGCATGGGCCAGCAGGCCAACTGCAGTGCTTCCCTATGATGTGCCTAGTTTACACCTCTCTTCTGCCTATAAATTATGCTTACAACCAGGCTAATCTACAAGTCTTGATAAAGTTCACTGAAGAGGCAAAACAGTCTTAATAAAGTTCCCAATTCTTGCTTGTGTGTCTTTATCAACTACAATTTACATGTAGCTATACCAATACAACATATGATATCTTTTGGAAAGTATGGTACTAAATTAGATTTTTCATAGCAATTTCTTTTTACTGCCTTGGCACTTGTGTGTCTGGTTTACTCAAAGATCTTTCACAAACTCAATTTATGATCACTTCACATGTTCATTTTCATTTTTTCACTTTTATTCAGCAAATAATCATCAGTTTTTTGCAGCATAATATAAAATTATTTAATTAAAGAAAACCTCTATAGCTTTCACATTTTACAAATTTAATGTCTTTGGACAACAATTAAATTTAAGAAAAGGCCTACATAAATATAGATACAATAGGGTAAAACATAAATTGTAAATGCAAGAAATGTATGTTACATACCTGCCCACCACTCTTTCACAAGGAAGATATCTCAAAGAGAGAATACATACTGACCTGTGATAGACAAATTTGGTCCACTGTATCCCAGGGCTTCTGTCTTCTGTTTGCAGGAACACCAGAAGAAGGTGGAGGTGGGTCTTTAGTAATGGTAGGAGGGGATCGCATGTCTGCTGAGATCCCTACTGAAATTGGCGTTCCACTACCACCACTAACAATACCACTGCTTACACCTACGACTGCAGTTGATGCAGTGGCAACACTGCCAGTACTGCCTACACCATTACTGCCACCACTGTTGCCAACACTACTTGCCCCAGTTGTTGTTGTGCTACACAATGATGCTAGAGTAACTGTGCTGGCATTAGAAGATGTGGCCTGTAAATAAAGTGAAAAAAAAAAAAAAAAGATGTCATAATGACAATGATTGCAGAATATGTACAGGAGGCAATGAGTAAGAGTACCTTACTTAAGGGAGACATAAATCTCAGTAAATACAGTAGACCGTTATATTACATAGGTTTATTTTCCATGTTTTTGGTTATTACACTACTGCAAAGTTGTTGCATATTTTTATACAACACTTTGAAAAATGGACTTAACACAGTTCCATTTCTGGGTGGGGAAAAAATTTGAAGTGTCGTTTACGGGCTCGCCGGGCTGCTCTCAGGCCTTCTGGCTCTGGGTCAGGCCATTGTCTCTGTGGAGGAGGCCTAAATCCTGGGAGCACTATTTAGCAATACTGCTTTACGTACGTACATACGTGTGTGTGTGTGTGTGAATATGAGTGTTTGTTGTAGGGAAAACAGAAGGCAGAAGGGGGCCAAGTTAGCTTGAAAAATGGTAGGCAAGTTAAAAAAAAATTGGTGATTCAAATTGAAGTTATTTTCAGTGGATCATTGGAACCTTTACACAGAATTTGCACTCGTGTACTGAATGTGCTACAACTAAAATAGTTTAGGTGAAGGGCATAGTGTAACAGAAGAAGATATTGATAGTGTATTATTCTTACTTTCAACATGAACTTACAAGTAGATAACTTTTACCAAAACTGTTTTAACTTCAGCACACTAAATACACAATGAATATAAATACAGTAATGTCATGACATGGAAGTGTGTACACATTAAGTACTAACCATATTAGTGAAGCTTCCATTGGTTGGAAAAGATGAGCCAGGAGAAGATATGTGATTACTTGGAGAAGATGCTCCTCCAGATTGTTGCAAAGCACATTGTTGGTTGCTGGTCATCCCACTCACTTGGGATGATGTAGGTGGAAGGTTCAAGTGAAGGCCCACAGCAAAAGTGTCTGATGATGCAGATTTGGAGAGATTTCGTGCCACTGAATACCTCAGATGACATCTGGATCTAACTTCTTCCGACATGGACACAAGGGCAGCAAGATAAGCCACATTTTCTGGTGTTACCTGGCAAAACGAAACACAAAATTTGCAATTACTAATTATAGAATGTTTTCAGAATTATGAAGAAAAAAGATATATGGAGTAGGGCCCCACTTATTCGGCAGGTTAGGTTCCAGGCTACTGCCGGAAAGCAGAACTCCATTTTTTCATTTATAAATGCATATAAATGCAAGATAACAAGTTTACACTAACATATATCAAGTTAGCAATAGAACTAGGCATTAAAAAGTAAAATACACACACAGTACACTCATTATTTACCTCAAAATATTTGTAGTCTTAATATACGGCAAAGGGTGAATAGTATTTACTCTAAGAAGTCAGGTGTGGTAGCCCTCCTGGCCACCCCACCCACACATACTATACTACGATGCTTAAAGCTCCCTAGAGCGATAAAAACGAATATACAGTAGATGCATTACTTACCTTAAAATATTTGTAGTCTTAATGGCCATAATGTAGGGTGAGAGGTGAAAAGTATTTATTTGTAGAAAGTCGTGTGGGAGGTATGGCATCCTGCCTGGCCACTTATACCTATTATGACATTAAGCTCCCTAGAGCAATAAAATGCATATATAGTACATTCAATAATTACCTTAAAATATTTGTAGTTTTAATGTAGGGTGAGAGGTGAGTTTTATTTGTATGAAGTCAGGTTGGAAAATATGGGTAACCAGGAAGTGCAACCCTCCCCACCCAACCCACACATAATGTAAACAAACCAGATGAACACGTCTGGTTTTCATCAGAAGTCCTACAAGTTGCCTGGCTACCACAAGTCCTACAAGTTGCCTGGCTACCACAAGTCCTACAAGTTGTCTGGCTACCACAAGTCCTACAAGTTGTCTGGCTACCACAAGTCCTACAAGTTGCCTGGCTACCACAAGTCCTACAAGTTGCCAGGCTACCACAAGTCCTACAAGTTGCCTGGCTACCACAAGTCCTACATGTCGCCTGGCTACCACAAGTCATACAAGTTGCCAAGTTGCCTGGCTACCACAAGTTGCCTGGCTACCACAAGTTGCTTGACTACCACAAGTCCTACAAGTTGCCTGGCTACCACAAGTCCTACAAGCTGCCTAGCTACCACAAGTCCTACAAGTTGCCTGGCTACCACAAGCCCTACAAGTTGCCAAGTTGCCTGGCTACCACAAGTTGCCTGGCTACCACAAGTTGCTTGACTACCACAAGTCCTACAAGTTGCCTGGCTACCACAAGTCCTACAAGTTGCCTGGCTACCACAAGTCCTACAAGTTGCCTGGCTACCACAAGTCCTACAAGTCACCTGGCTACCACATCTCATATTTATATTAATTTAGTCTACTGTGGGGTGTATTTAGATGGATTAAGCAAAATGTCTATACAGTGGACCCCCGACTTATGAACCTAATTCGTTCCAGGAGGCTGTTCGAGTGCCATTACCGAACGAATTTGCTCCCATAAGGAATAATGTTAATTAGATTAGTCCGTTTCAGACCCCCAAAAATACACTTACAAAAGCAATTACAAAAATACACTTACATAATTGTTCAAGTTGGGAGCTGTTCCTAAGCCAGGGGTCCACTGTATTAACGTTTTATACGATATTTAACCCTTTCAGGGTTTCGGCCTTACTAGTATGGCTTACGCACCAGGGTTTTTGACGTACAGTGGACCCCCGCATAACGATCACCTCTGAATGCGACCAATTATGTAAGTGTATTTATGTAAGTGAGTTTGTACGTGTATGTTTGGGGGTCTGAAATGGACTAATATACTTCACAATATTCCTTATGGGAACAAATTCTGTCAGTACTGGCACCTGAACATACTTCTGGAGTGAAAAAATATCGTTAACCGGGGGTCCACTGTACTAGCATGCCTAAATTCTAACGCCCTCAAATCTAATGAGAGAAAGCTGGTAGGCCTACATATGAAAGAATGGGTCTATGTGGTCAGTGTGTGCAGTACAAAAAAAATCCTGAAGCACACAGTGTGTAATGAGAGAAAAAAACAAAAACTTTGATCGTGTTTTTGGATTAAAACAGCGACTTTGCACTGTATTTTCATATGGTATTTATTGTTGTATTCTAGATTTCCTGGTCTCATTTTATAGAATGGAAGACATATTACAGAAATTGAGATGATTTTGACTGGTTTTACAATGAAAAGTACCTTGAAATTGAGCTCAAAGTAGCAGAAATGTTCGATTTTTACCAAAATTCAAAAGTAAACAAATCATGGTATGCGTCCAATACACGTCAACTGGTGAGTCTAATATTCTTTCACAAGTGCGCTGATATTATTTATACCATTTCTACACTAATGCAGTAGTCTGCATAACAGTAAATCTTCTATTGTTTTTGTGAGAATAAAAATTCAAAGTGGAAAGCAAAAGAATGTAAGAGGGGCATGGGGATGTGACTAATGAAAAGAGGAAATATTATTTTAGTGCCAGGAATGTCTTTCTTGTTTATTCTGGACCCTATTTGGAAATTGGCATCTTTTGAAATTTGTGTGAAATTGGCAAAACTGCTAAATTCTGACCACTGTATTGGATAGTTGAAATCGGTAAATGGGTGGTTTTTTGTACTCATTCGATAGAAAAAATGGAGTTCTTGCGAAATAGTTATGATTTTTGTCGACTAGTACACTGGAATTGGCTGAAAATAGGGCTCAAAGTGGGAAAAATCGCCGATGCGTAAACATCTTCGAGACCGCTAACTTTGCGAGAGCGTAATTCCATAAGTTTTCCATCAAATTTCATACTTTTGGTGTCATTATGATCGGGAAAAGATTCTCTATCTTTTCATAAGAATTTTTTTTTTTTTTTTTTTTAAATTTGGGCAATCCTGAGAACAAGTCTCTGAGAGGACCTGTCGACCCCCAAAGGGTTAATAACCCTTTGACTGTTTTGGTCGTATATATATGTGTCACAAGCCAATGTTTTTGACGTATTAATACGCGTAAATTCTAGCGGCTTCAAATCACGTGGGAGAAAGTTGACAGGCCTACATGTGAGAGAATGGGTCTGCGTGATGGGTGTGCACAGTATAAACAAAATCGGGGACTCAGTGGTGCACTGTGGGAATGCCATTTTAGCAGTCTTTGTTCACAATGCCTCACAGCAAGAAGCACCTTACTCCTTGCTGAATTGGAGGTTCTAACAGCAATGTAAGTGCCAGTAAAAGTGAATTCCATGGTTTTCAGGAGGGTGTGACCAAAAGCAGTGCCCAGGATGAAAACCCCGATGACTCACAACCTTCCACCTCTGGGGCTGGGCAGCCTCATTCACGTTCACCTGTACCATGACGAAAGAGGAAACTATTTCCCCATGTACAGGACTTGGATGTGAGCAGTGAAAGTGATAGTGACAATGATTTCCAAGTTATTGAAAGCATTTTGAGTTGTGACAGTGAGGAGGAATATTCTCCAGTGAAGTAGCAGTATGTACGATGCAACATGCATTCTAGTAGTGTGCCACATTCCATTCCAAGGAAAAGGAGTAAATCTCGGAATACATCCCATGGCCCTACACCACGAACTGATACTGAAGATGATATTGTTACAATGGGGATGGGTAATGTGCGTGGGGCAGCAGGTGGTGGTGGTGGTGGTGGTGGCGGCGGTGGTGGAGGCGGTGGTGGCGGTGGAGGCGGTGGCGGCGGCTGCGGCAGTGGTGGTGGCGGCGGCGGCACAAGTCATGTGGCACCAGCAGCTGGCCACGCTGTTAACTCAGCATAGCCACAACCAGCCTCAACCACCCCCACACTCCCACAACCTGCACAACCACAACCACCTGTCAATATCCAGTACCCACCAGCAGACTGCATCTGAGATTGGCAGGAAGGTGCCAATTTTGTTCCAAATCTCCATGACTCTGATGAAACACAAAGTGGAATACGGCCATTGTGTACACTTGGGAACAATGCCACTGAACTGGAATGCTTTCAGTTATTCTTCAATGAACCCCTGATGGAAATTATTGTCAGGGAAAGCAACACATACTATGAGTACACCATGGCAAACACAATTCTTTCACCAAGGTCATGGCTAAACCAGTGGAAGGACACAAATGTGGCAGAGATGTACCTGTTCTTTGCCACAATAATGCTTATGCCACATGTGTATAAGCACACTGTCACCATATACTAGTCAACAGACCGCCTGATTTCAACCCCAGGTTTTAGTGATATACCAGTGAATCGATTTCTGCTACTGTTACGTATGCTACACTTCTCAGACAAAACAAGGCCTGACAGAAACGACAGGTTATATAAGATCAGGAATGTGTTTATGTACCTGAAACAAAAGTGCTGTATGTATTTTTATCCCTTCAAGAAGCTTGTTATTGATGAGTCTTTGATTTTGTTCAAAGGTAGACTGTCATTCAAGCAGTACATACCAAGCAAGAGGAAACGCTTTGGTATAAAGTTGTTTGTACTGTGTGATTGCAAAAGTGGTCTGGTTTTGGATATAATTGTGTACACTGGCAGTAATACATTGACAGATACCAGGAAGTTATTGGGTATCTCTGGTGATGTGGTTAGAACAATGATGGACCCATATCTTGGTAAGGGACATACATTATAAACTGACAACAGGTACACAAGCCCCTTACTCAGTGATTTCTTGCGAGTGAACATGACAGACGTGTGTGCCACAGTGCATAGAAATCGTAAGCATATGCCTAGGTTCGATGCAGGCACTCACAGAGGTGAGGTGCAGGCGTTTGCTGCCAACGACATCACGGTATTTCGATGGCATGACAAACGTGGTCATATTGTTGTCATCAGTTCACCGACATGAAATGGCAGACACTGGCAGGTAGAAGAAAGAGACCAATGAACCCATTCTAAAACCTGCAGCTGTGATGGACTACAACCTCAGTATGCACTTAGTGGACAAATGAGTTATACAGATTGTGTTCGCAAGAGTAATAAGTGCTATACACCTACCATCCGACTTACAACCTGCTCGACATACGTCCACTCGACTTACGACTGTGCATCTGGCAGGTGGGC